ACAAGGCTAACCCCTTACAGATTTGAATTTTGGTGAAAAATGAGAAAATTCCCAAATTAGTCAAAATGCAAGACTAACCCCTTACAGATGTGAATTTAGGTGAAAAATGAGAAAATTTCCCAAATTAATCAAAATGCAAGGCTTACCCCTTACAGATTTGAATTTTGGTGAAAAATGAGAAAATTCCCAAATTAATCAAAATGCAAGACTAACCCCTTACAGATTTGAATTTATGTGAAAAATGAGAAAATTTCCCAAATTAATCAAAATGCAAGGCTTACCCCTTACAGATTTAAATTAAGGTGAAAAATGAGAAAATTGCCCAAATTAGTCAAAATGCAAGACTAACCCCTTACAGATTTGTATTCAGGTGAAAAATGAGAAAATCCCCAAATTATCAAAATGCAAGACTAACCCCTTACAGATTTGAATTTAGGTGAAAAATGAGATAATTCCCAAATTAATCAAAATGCAAGGCTAACCCCTTGCTATTTTGATTTTTTCAGAAAATTGAGAAAATTCCCCCAAATTATCAAAATGCAAGAATAACCCCTTACAGATTTGGATTTAGGTGAAAAATGAGAAAATTTCCCAATTATTAAAATTAAAAGGCTTACCCCTTGCTATTTTGATTTTTTCAGAAAATTGACAAAAATTCCCCAAAATTATCAAAATGCAAGGCTAACCCCTTATAGATTTGAATTTAGGTGAAAAATGAGAAAATTTCCCAAATTAATCGAAATGCAAGGCTAACCCCTTGCTATTTTCAATTTTTCAGAAAATTGAGAAAATTCTCCAAATTTATCAAAATGCAAGGCTAACCCCTTAAAGATTTGAATTTAGGTGAAAAATTAGAAAATTCCCACATTAATCAAAATGCAAGACTAACCCCTTACAGATTTGAATTTAGGTGAAAAATGAGAAAATTTCCCAAATTAATCAAAATGCAAGGCTAACCCCTTACAGATTTGAATTTTGGTGAAAAATGAGAAAATTCCCACATTAATCAAAATGCAAGACTAACCCCTTACAGATTTGAATTTAGGTGAAAAATGAGAAAATTCCCACATTAATCAAAATGCAAGACTAACCCCTTACAGATTTGAATTTAGGTGAAAAATGAGAAAATTTCCCAAATTAATCAATATGCAAGGCTAACCCCTT